ACTTATAGAAGGAAGAGTTTATTTGAGCTTAAGTTTCCAGGGGAATTACAGTCCATCATGGCAGGGAGGCATGGTGGCTGGAGGTGGCTGGAGCAGGAACAGAAAGCAGAGAGCTCATATCTTCCAGCAGGCACAGGAAGCAAGAACACAACTGGAGATCAGGCAAGGCTTAAGAACTCTCTAAGCCTACCCCTGGTGACGTGCTTCCTCCAGGACAGGCACACCTTCTAAAACCTCCCAAAACAGTGCCACCAACTGGGGACAAATTGTCCAAATACTTGGAGCTTATGGGGGATATTTTCATTCAAACCATCACAAATGAAAAAGTCTTAGCTGTAGTTCTCAAAACAGTACTGCTTTTCCAAAGGTGAAGGGGAAGTTGTGGAAAGCATTTGTTAATTTGAAGTCCAAGGTTTTCCATAAATGCTCCCCTGAAGTTAATATTGAGTGGGTTTCTTGAGCATAGATCTGCCCAGGCAGGAACTAAACCATGACCCAGAATATCTCCAACAGGGACACAGAGGAGCCTGGCATGGTGGGGACTGCATGACAGGGACAGCTTTCTGGAGTAGCATACTGTGTCTAGATGCTACACCGCTTCCAAATTGCGGCCTTCGTTCCCTGAGAGGTTCCTGGCTCGTGAACAGTTTGAAAAGAGGGTTTTGGCTCCCTCTTTCCAGTGTCCTATTGCACAAGTCATGTGACCGCCCCATCAGAAAGAGGCTGAGAGCCTGTTACCCAGGTAAAACAATACAGGGGAAGCAATTTCTTATGGAAGAAACTGGGGCAAAGTTATAAACATTTAAAATACTTTCAAAGCCAAAAGCTCTCTACAGCTCTTTTCTGTGTGGGAAAAGCTAACTTACTCTAGCACTTGACATTTATACAAAATGTCAGACCCAGGATGGTAGAAGATCCAATTAGAAAGAAAAGCTTTCCCACATCACAAGAGCACAGTATCTGGAAAATGCCTTTTAGACACAGTCCCGTGTGTTACAAATGAAGGTGCTGTGGGAGTGGGCAGAGCAGGACCTCTCAAAGCATCGATGTCCTGGTCTTCACATTCTACTCAAAGCACAGCTCTGGGGGAATTCAAAACTGCCGCTCTGTGGATAGTCAACTGGATAGTCAACTGGAGCACTGGTTCTACTACAAGAGTCCAATCAAGGCTGGGAGCATGTCAGGAAAACATAGCATGTATTAAGGGCTCTTTCTTCCCACCACCTGCCTCCAACACAGCAGGGTTCTGGGTAGAAAATGAGCCTTGGAGGGGAAATTCTTATCTTAGGAAGTTTGGTTTCTGATTTCTTCCGGACACCTACTTCTTGAATGCTAAGAAAGACGTGTCTGAAAGAGGCCTTTACAAACCTACCGTAGTCAAACATTTGTTCCAGGCTCTTTTCCTCACACAGAGTCCCCTGTGTCTGTCAGGCACAGGCACTGTTTACAGCCTGGAACTTTCATAATACAGGCACTTGGGCAGCAGGTGCAGCTGGATACCCATGAGTCTCCTCCTGATGTCAGCAGTTCCCTCCTAATCCCTCCTGCTCTGGGACTCCTGTCAGCTCCTGCACTGATCAGAGCCTCCCCATGTGCTTCTCTCCTGCTACTTTGGTGGAAGAGGACAAATGGAACTAGGCAAGCGCAGAGCACCTCTGTGTGAACTTCATATCCAGTCTCAATCAGGGGAAACCAAACCTCTGAACTAAAGTTCATTGACTTCTGACGGTTATATATCTTCTCACACGCAGGGGAAACCAACTTTTGTAATTCCATGACTATGACTGCTCTTATCACATGTAGACATAAATATGATTTCTTCATGAGTTAGTACACTGCCCTTGATCTCTTGATAGAGACAAGAAAAAAAGCCACAAATCCCACTGTATCCCAAGCTGTCCTTTCCTGTTGCAGATTGGGGTGCTGTGGAATTTTTCAGCAGGACTCAAGTCATTCCACTTTCACTGCAATTTCTCCTGCTCTAGAGGGACCAGGGTGAGCTATGGAAGGCTGGGCTTCAAGCCGTTTGCCTGCATGGTAGAAGATTTACACAATTTATATCAGCCTGCTCTGCACATGTCCCTGATGAACTGTTCCTGTCCCAGGAACAAGTGTCCCAGAGGAAGAGTACACCCTGAGGTCACAAAATGGAGCAGAGCACACAAGTGTCTGTAGGATACAAGCAAGCTTTGTGTCCATCAGTATCTGAAAGCTTGAATCTCATGGCAAGAGACCCCTTTCCACTGTTAAACACTCTGGGCCTGAAATAGGACTGCTACCATGCTTTGACTTATATGATGCTGACAACCCAAGAGGCCAGCAGGGGTTTGACTAGGACTCAGATCTTCTGGCTATTTCCTCATGTGGGTAAGAAACTGTCCTCATGTACCGTTGGCACAGAAAGTTAGCAGTCTGCTCGGTCTGGCACTTGCAATAAGGTAATTTACCATGTGACTGGAAGAAAGCCTTTCTCTGACCAGCTAGTGAAATAGCAGCTTCTAGTTTTCGTGACCTACCCCCACCCCACAGAAGCCCATTCCACTGTGCCATTGTCTGGACCACCCAGCCCATATCTCTGTTCTTTCTCAAACACTTCTGTGTCTCACTCGGACATAGCAACATCTGGGCTGGTCGCTATATACTGATGCTGGGATAAATAATATTCAGCTCTATAACTTTTTCCACATGACCTATATATTTAGGCTGATATGACTACCCATTCTAACACTTCCTCTGTTTTTCTATCACATTGCTGTCTAAAAAGAGGTTGACCCTTGACCTCTGGCAAGTGAAAACAAATGTCAGTGCTTTCCAACAGTTGTCCAGGTTTTGACAAGTGTGTGATGACTCACTGAAGCCTAGACTTAGAGTGATAATATCCTGACAGTCACTAAGCATCTTACCCAGAACTGGCCTTCCTCAGGAAATACATAGCCTGGCCTGCTTGAGGAACCATCTGTCCAAGGGCAGGGCGTAGCTGCAGCTGCTTTCCAAGCCCTGCTCTGTGTCTGCACAGCATGGAGATATCATGGACCAACCCTTTGCCCACTGACTTCAGTGTTCCTCTGGCAAGCATGCAATTCCCACTTCTGCTGAAAACAAAGAGTGTTTCTACGTGCACAAACCTCAGAATGACCAACTGGAATTTGGATTATCCCTTCTCCAAGATTAATCTGTCCAAATAAAAATGAGTGTTCAGTCCTGTCTGTGGCATTAATAAATTGGCCACAGTACCCTGAGACCAAGCCACACCTAATCCTAAGTGCCTGACAGAGTACAGCATTGGCACAGAGCAATCATAGGAGACTACGGTGCTTGATGGTCAGACAAGCCTTTTAAACAATGGGATATTAGATCACTTGACATATGAACTCAAATCCCTTTATTTTGAATTTATGAAATCTAACCAAATGGAGTATTAAAAGTTCAATTCAATGTGATTCAGCAAATGACTGCTATGGGACATTGTGCTAAATGTGGCATAGAGAAATCTTTCCTGGCTAACAAACCTAGGACAAGAAAAATAGTCCACATTTTTCACAGCTTTCCATAAAATAGCATGTACCTTTTCTATAAAATAGCGTGCAACTTTGATCACATCCGATTACTAAAAATAGACAGCTGCAAGAGTTTGAAATTCTTCTGTCAATATTGTTCATGCTGAAGGATGAGTCATTGTTATGAATGCTTTAAACAATTGTGTTTTATGGTAGAAATTGCTACTACATAGTCAAGTTCAGTTGTCTTTGAGCACGTGACTTTTCCTGCCCCAAATGAGGACAAGACGGTAGTATTTTGGTTCAAGCATCATTAATTTCTCTCTATTCTTGCAAAAATCACACAGAAACTATAACTGTGCCATCAAGGAAACTAAAGGTCAAACCTAAAGAAGTGTTCTCACAATCACCTAGTTTAGTAGCTTTCAGGAGCAGTACTGTCCAAACACAGAGGAAGATGTTAATTTCACATCTCTGCCAAAAGCATGCAATATAATTTACATAATATATCCAAAATACGCAAATACATGGAAACAGAGTAGCAGTTTCTTATAGAAAGTAGGAAAGGTGAAGATATGTTTCCTTTGTAATGTGATAAAATATTCTAAAATCACATAGTGATACTCTTTGTACAAGTCCAAGAACGTACTAAAAAAATTATTTGAAAAAAAATTCACTGAATTATATACTTCAAAATAGTAAACTGAATGGTATGTAAGTTCTACCTAACTAACAATAAGATTAAACTGTTATGAGTTTTAGCAGTTATGTCTAGTTAAAGGAAAGGGTTGAAACAGAAGACAATAAATATAACCAGTTAAACAGGTTCTTCTCAAAATGATATTGTGTACTCTTTAGCAGAGGACTCAAATACAAAATACGATCAACTTCATTCTACAAAGTCAAGCACTAAAATATGTCTGCTAAGTGACCATTGATTGACTTCTGAAGAACAGCATTGTGGGCTGTCACGTAATGGTTATAAAGACAACAAAGCTATTCATTCTGCTCCTTTCCTATAATAACCGCAGTCTCATACAGAGACGTTCCACCCCTCAGATAGCACAACGTAGCACAGCCATGGTGGCAAGTTTGGCCAGTCAGTCATGCTCAAGCCCATTTACCTCTCTAGAATTTTTATCATCACAAATACCAGCCTTCCACTTATATATTCTCATATGTTATAGAACATGTCATAGTTAAAAAAAAATTAATAGACTGATAGCCCTTGCTTATCAGGATAAATCGATAGGCTCAGTCTTTGCATGTGTCTACTGGGGATTCAACAGGCAAAGGTTGTCATGGTGGTTAAGTGTGTTAGTGCATGGAAAATGGAACGTCTCCACAAAATGCCAGACATAAAATTGACATGCAAGAATTATAGTATGTGAGTGTTATATTACTATTAGTAAAACACTGAAATCTAGACCTAGTCTAAAAATGGAAACAACAAAAGCATCAGAGAAACATGACTAGAAATCATAGTCGTGGTGCTGTACATACCTGCAGCAATGTACGAGCCACCCCCAGCTTTATAAAGGAAGTGACTGGCAAATGGGGCTGCACAGATGATCAGAAAGCTCGCAGTCAGGACGGCCACTACCCCCAGGAGCATCAGGACAGCCCAGAAACCACGGTAAACTGGAAACCCAGGAGAGGAGAAAAAAAAGAAAAGAGAACCACACTTAATCTTGGGCATAGCAAACTGTCAGGCCAGGAGTTTGCTCCTCATTGTTCTAATGTCATTTACAGCACTGTTGGGTGGGTCCCGAATGGTGGACCTGGAATGATCTTAAATGGAATTCTTACCAAGCCACCAGGCTCAGCCTTCCCCATACTGATGAGCTTCAATAACTCCTCAAGCTCAGCATTTGCAGCATACACACTCTTAACATACCCCAGGAGCTCATTTTTCTGCTCACATTTTCCATTTTGATTGAGGGAATGCCTAAAGTTCTACCAAGTAGTCATATGCAAGTGTCTCACATTAAATGCCCAGAGCCATGAAAGACATTCCCATGACTTGTAAACACAGCTTTGTTTTCAGCTAAGATGATATTTGTACAATAGTGAGTCTTAGAAAACTGACAATAATTACCCAAACCCCTAAGCAAAAAGTTCACTTCATCTAGATTATGGCTCACATGGAAAACATTAAGATAATAAAAGTTACACTATTAAGAAAAGTTTGCACAGCTATACTTTCTAAGCAAATCTGAAATTTTATATCAGATATGCTTAAAGAATACAGCTTTCTATTAATATTTATAATATATAAAAAGTGTCAGAATGAAGTTCAGGAGTCTCTTACTCAAGGACAAACAAGGCTGAAATGACAGATGCAGATGGTGATGAATGGATTGTGAGTCTGGTGATTTATAGTAATAAAATGAAAAGGAATTCTAATGATCATTTGTGAGCTGGATAATTACCAGTCTATTAAACAAATTCATCATTTCCCTAAGGCTAAAATGCTAAAACGAGTTCTCTTTTGTGTAGATGGGGTAAGTTCAGTGAAACGTGTTAGTCAAATTTTAATTTTTTAAAGAAAATATAGAGTCGTTACTGTGAAGCGAACATTGTTTTTCTCAAGTCTACCTTCAAAGGAGAAATATATCAATCAACTGTAATCTTAAGAAACAGAGGACAGGAAAGAGGAGTGTGAGAGCGTGGGCGTCACAGTCTGGGGGAACGAAGAGCTGCAATGCATTGTGGGGTGGTTACTGAGAAGGTTCTGAAGACAGGAAGGAAAGGGCTGCTTTTCCCCTGCTTACCAACACCGAGCACTTGGCCGTGGCTCTCCGTTTGGCTATCATGTGATGTGTGCAGTTGCAGTAAGATTGTCAAGAACGGCAGAAGGAAACATGTAGAATTGTCCCTCTAAACTCATGGGGTCCATGGCTGAGCTTCTAACCAACCTCACATCAAAAATATTTGAAAAAATTTGTGTCTGTAATGAACGTATTTAGCCTTTCTCTTATCATTATCCTGAGCAATGCAGTGTAATACCTAATTATACAACATTTATGTCCTATTATGTATGACAACTTGTCAGAGACGATTTAAAGGGTACATGAAGACATGTATGCAGGTTCTCTGCAGATACAATGGCATTTTATGAAGGACTTGAGCATCTGCAGATTTTGGTGTCTACAGAAATCTTAGAACCAATTTCAGGGAACATAAAGGACCAGCTGCATTAGTTCCTCTTTTAAGTTAGAGAAATGAGAATTAACAGTTTGCAAGCCATCCCTGACCTACCAAAATTTATGCAACTGATTATAGATGAGTGTCGCTTTTTTTTTTTTAAACCACGTTCATTCATTTCATTTACAAACAGGTTAGAGTTGTGATCTGCATACAGTTCCTGTGCCAAGTGCTTGGGGTAAAAAGCCCACACTGTCCTTTCTATCACAAGAAACATCTGGATAAGTATGACAGATGCTTGTAGACTCTGAGAAGTAGACAGCAGAGAGTTGACTGAGAAGAGTTTTGGGTTTATTTTGTTGTTGCTTGTTTTTCTTTCTTTCTTTTTAAATTTTCTTCCTGGATATGCCTCAAGGCAAGCCAAATTTAGAACTTTGTAAAAAGAACAAATAGGAAAAACCATTAGTTTGTTTTTTGTGTTTGTTTGTTTGTTTTTGTTGTTGTTGTTGTTGTTTGAGACAAGGTCTCCCTGTAGCCCCAGCTAGCCTGGAACTCACTATGTAGACCAGGCTGGCCTTGAACTCACAGAGATCCACCTGCCTCTGCCTCCCAAGTGCTGGGACTAAATGCATGTGCCACCACACCCAGCTAGGAAAAACCATTAGTTAATAGCAGCATTTTGGCTAGAGATCAGGAACGGAGACTTTGAAAGTAGGATTGAGGGGGGTTCCCTTGTTTCTTTTCTCCTTTGATTTTCCTAGTCATTTTCAGATGTGTCCTGAACTCCCACCCCGCTGGAGGCATAGCACCTAGGATCTAAAGATGATCCACCCTTTGGGTGGAGGACTCCAGTAAAGCGACCTTTGTTGCTGAACAGTGGGAGAATCCTTGTTAAATATTTTCTCTTTTTTTCTTTTTTGCCCCATGACACAATTACATGGATCTATGTCACAGTACAAGAGGCCACAGCTCAATCAGAACTCACTCATTCTATGCAGAAAAACTGGGGGGAAAGGCCTTAGAAACTAGAAGGGGTAAAGACTGAACAGAGGAGAAAGATGGAAGAGACTCTGTAATTTTATGTTTGAACCCACACAAGCAACAAGCTCAGCCCAAGTCACTTATGCATAGAGGAAGCCCAAGGAAGTGAGACCAAGTCTTTGAGAGCTTAACTGCACCCTAAAGGACTCCTGAACCCTAGAACCAGCCTTACCCAGGGCACAGCAGATATCAGACCCTAGGGCCTTTGAATGCTGGGTCGACATTGAAACTGTCAACACAAAAACAAAGGTGAAAAAATGAAATGAAAACAAAAATGAAAAAGGTGTTGACCTGCTAGAACAGCAAATCAGTATTATCCAGGGGCCTTTTAGCACTATGAAGAGTCTGACAAGATAATATTTAAGAATGTCTAGACTACAACTTAAAATGATTTGATATACAAGAGCCACGAATGTCTGATCAGTTCTCAAGGGAGCAGTAAATCAGCAAATACCAAGCCAAAGATAATTCAGATTGTGATTTATCAGACAGATTTCAAGCAGGTATTAGAACGATTTTCTGTAAACTAGTGAATACTCTCAAAATGTATAGAACGAGAGAAACAGAGTCTATAATAAAAAAACTGAATTTAGCTTCTGGAATTGGAAGATACAGTATCTGAAAATTTAAAAAGCCATAAGATGGGCTCAGAAACAGACTGAAGACGATCCAAGAAAGAACGAGTGAGTTGTGATACAGCAATACAAGTTTTCTAACATGAAGGAGCAGGGGGTGAGGGGGACACTGAGAAAAACTCATGGAGTGCCAGATACTTCTGCGACTGCGTCACAAGTTTCCACACCGGTGTCATTAGAATCCGTAAAGCAGAGGCAAGAGATTTTTGATGTAGAAAAAAAATCATAAAGTAGATAAATCCCCAAGCGTGGTGAAAGACAAATTTATAGGTACAAGAAACTCCAAAGATTATAAGCTCAAAGAAATTCTCAGACACATAAAAATAAAATGACAAAAAACATAGATAATATCTTGAGCACAGAGGGAGAGAAATACAACACATCATCTACAGAGGAACAATAGCCCTATTGACTGCAAATTCCCTATCAAAAACAGAACATTTTTAAAGTGCTGGGAGGAGAGACACACATCTAGTGGCAACATCCTAGAGAAACAACAATGAAATGAAGTTGTTTGTAAAGGAGGGATGAAGAATTTGTTATAGCAGACCTGTTCTTTACAAAGACCTGAAAAAATTCTTGAGGTTAACAGGATACAACCCTAGAATATCTTTGAAACATCAAAGATAAGAGGAGGAAAAAAATGATTAGTATCTATGAATATCATAGACCAGCATTTTTTAAAATGCATTTGAATATTAAAATTTTGAATATTAACAACAGGGCCTGGAGAGATGGCTCAGTGGTTAAGAGCACTTGCTGCTCTTCCAGAGGATTTGATTCTGGTCTCAACACCCATATCAAGCAGCTCACAACTGCCTGTAACTTCAGCTCCAAGGGATCTCACACCCTCTTTTGGCCTCCATGGGCACCCTCACACAATGTGGCATATACACACAAATAAACTGCTGTTTAATGAACAATAGTTTATTAAAAACTATTGCCAGAATAATATAGTAGGAAAATATAAGTATTTGAATTAGTGTCCTATATGTTCATCACAATCTTGATTTGTAACCTTGGATCAACGTTGGAGTTTTCTGAGCCTTTCTCTCCTGAGTAACAAAGATGCTCACATCTGTCCATTAGAGCTACAGGAAGATCATGCTATGGAGTGTGGAGTATGGAGTGTGTGGTATATCAAATGGCTCCTTAAGTGGTTTCCACTTATGACCCCTTTTAGCCTGAGAAATTTGCATAAGTATACTAATCAAACATTCATTGATTATAAATCATTAAGAAATTTATTTTAAACAGTTCTTTGGAACCTGAGGCTATAGCTTAGTTGGTGGAGTGCTTGCTTAACATGTAGAAAGCATTGGGTTAAATACCCAGAACTGCATAAACTGGGTGTGATGGCGCATCCTTATAAGCCTTGCACATGGAAGGTGGAAACAGGAGGATCAGAAGTTGCAGATCAAATGTAGCTATGCAAGAAGTCTAAGCGCATAGTCTGGGCTGCATGAGACCCCGTCTCAAAAAAATAAGAAAGACATTCTTTAGCACGCATATAATTTTACCATTCATTAAAGATGAAAACAAAATTTCATACTAACAAGATGGACGTGCTTGTTTTGCATAAATAATTAACTCATATCTGAATATTTGATATTGCAGTATTTGAACATCTCCAAAATTTCTTGGAGTTAATCAATAGTTATTTTCACAATTGTCAATGTTGAAAACACCACTTCAAACAAAAGTGAAATTTTTAAAATGACCAAAGTGTATTTATGGTCACTTCAAAAATTGTTGGAAAATTTGTCCTAATACAAACCAAAATTTATTTTACAATTTTTGTAAAACCCAGTGACAACT